TCATTACTATATTTCTTCATCCATCACGACTTTATCAACTGTCATTATGTGGCAAAAAAGTAGAGAAAATCAGGGTAGCTGGACTGGCAGACATAACTTTAGTATCATTACAAAACGAGAGGCTGTGCTGTATATTGAAATGAGGTCTGGAGGAGAACTGAGATTCTTGGCCTGTGACACTGTTACTGTGCAACTTAGACGTGTCATTAAATTTCTGAGCCTTGGTTTCCTAATATGCAAAATGCAAATAAGAACCTTGTACTACTAATTACATGCAGATATTTTGAACATCAAGTAAAATAACGTAGGTACAAATACATAAATAAGTAAAAGGCATTGTTATTTTTGTTAACTATGAAGGCATGGACACATAATCAGTCAAAAGAAGTTCTAGAAGCAAAACATATCTCCCTGGGCAAGGGAAACAAAAGCAAAAATGAACAAGTGGGACTACATCAAGCTGAAAGCTTCTGTACAGCAAAGGACACCATCAATAGAACAAAAAGACATCTTAGAGTATGGGAGAATATATTCATAAATGACATATCTGATAAAGGATTGACATCCAAAATATATGAAGAGCTCACCCACCTCAACAAATAAAAAGCAAATAATCCAATTAAAAAATGGGCAGAGGATCTGAACAGACACTTCTCCAAAGAAGAAATTCGGATGGCCAACAGGCACATGAAAAGATGCTCCACATCGCTAATGATCAGAGAAATGCAAATTAAAACCACAGTGAGATATCACCTCACACCAGTAAGGATCGCCACCATCCAAAAGACAAACAACAACAAATGTTGGTGAGAATGTGGAGAAAGGGGAACCCTCCTACAATGCTGGTGGGAATGTAAACTAGTTCAACCACGGTGAAAAGCAGTATGGAGGTTTGTCAAAGAACTCAAAATAGAAATACCACTTGACCCAGGAATTTCACTCCTAGGAATTTACCCTAAGAATGCAGCAGCCCAGTTTGAAAAAGACATATGTACCCCTATTTGTATCGCAGCACTATTTACAATAGCTAAGATATTGAAGCAACCTAAGTGTCCATCAGTAGATGAATGGATAAAGAAGATGTAATTCAGCCATAAGAAAACAAATCCTACCATTTGCAACAACACGGATGGAGCTAGAGGGCATTACGCTCAGTGAAATAAGCCAGGTGGAAAAAGTATCAAATGATTTCACTCATCTGTGGAGTATAAGAACAAAAAAAAAAAACTGAAGGAACAAACCAGCAGCAGAATCACAGAACCCAAGAATGGACTAACAGTTACCAAAGGGAAAGGGACCGAGGAGGATGGGTGGCAAGAGAGGGACAAGGGGAAAAAGGGGCATTACAATTAGCAGACATAATGTAGGGGGGAGGCACGGGGAGGGCTGTACAACACAGAGAAGACAAGTAGTGATTCTATAGCATCTTACTATGCTGATGGACAGTGACTGTAATGGGGTATGTGGGGGGGACTTGATGATGGGATGGAGTTTAGTAGCCATAATGTTGCTCATGTAATGATACTAAAATAAAAATAAAAAACAAAACAAAACATGGAGTTCCTGAAAAAAAAAAGTTATAGAAGCAAGCACTGAATTTGTAACCACCAGTCAATTAAATGGGTCAGCTGAGGTTTTAGGTTGCCTGGAACCTATCTGTTATTCCATCTAGTAAGATGTCCTGTCCCTGTGGACACAGACGTGAGCATTGTGGTCCCCCATCCTCTGGCCACAGTGCTTGATTCAGGAGATAGGCCCTTGATCCGCGAGGGGCCAGAATGCTTAATTTGGAATTTTCAAAATGGATCTAGGAGAGAGCATTCCCATTTTTTTGTCTGGTCACTAAGATGTGAATCAGAGCCCCTGGTAATTATGTCCCCCGTCCACTGAACCTGCTTCCTTCCCAACACCCTTCAATCTGCAGTAGGAAAGGAAACAGAAAGAGATGAGAGACAAGAGAAAGTGGCTCTTAATGAATTTGAGTCTCTGATTCCAACTCAATTATGTGAACCAATAAATTTCCCCCTTTTGTTTAAGTTTGTGTCACTTGCAACCAGACTTCTGTTCAGTAGTTGGCCAAGAACCTGTGCCTCCTTTGAAGTGCTAAGAATTGTTTTCTCCTTTCTCCACATTCAAGACCCATGAGAAATATAAATTTAATCCTCGAAAAAATAAAATGGCAAAGTAAATATGACCTTTCCTTACTTTGATTCCTCCCCAGTGCTGGAGAAATTAATTCTGCTCCTTTTCCTTGCTCCCCTCCAGGGGAAAAACTAGTGAAAACACTGTCTACAGTTTTTATTTTCTCTAAGTCCTATTTCTCTGCCACCCACTCCAATCCCACCTCCATCTCTACCACACCACCAAAAAGGCTTTGTTAAAGTTGCCCATGATCCCATTACTGAATGCATTGTTTTTCTATCCTCATCTTGCTGGAATTAAGCAACATTTGATACTGACCTTGCTCTCCTTGAAAACTCTCTCCCTGTCACCGCTGGAAGCTGCGTCCTCCTGGCGGCCGTACAACTCACTGATGGTTCCTCTGCCTCCTCTAACTCTCTGAATGTCGGGGTCTCCAAGGCTCAGGGCTGACTCACCACTCCTCTCCACCTCGGCCCATTCCTTCGGTCGCCTCACCCAGGACGCGGCTCTCCCCATTCCCTCCTCCGCAGCACTCCCCGCCCCACTCACTCTTCCATGCCAACTCTTCCTTGTGCCTTAGTCTCAAATGCCTCTCCTTCAGAGAGCCTTCGCTGACACCCAACCCTAGGTAGGTGCTTCCCCTCTGTGGCCCCTCATGTCCTCTCCTCCCCTCATCATAACATGCCTCCCACCTTAACGTAGTCAGGTGCTCGTGTCCATCAGGAGGGAGACTGTGTCTGGCTCGCTTGGTGCCACACCCCTGATGGCACAGAGCACTCCAGGAGGAGGGTGGCGTGAACCAAGCCACAGAAACTGCAGTTTGAGGTGGTGGAGTTGAAAGGGATGAGTCTTTGGGTAAGCCAAAACCTGATTACTGAGTCTCCTAAGCGAGGGAAAGATTTGGGACTTTATCTTAAGGGAGTAGGAAGCCACTGAAGGATCCAGCAGGAGAGGGAGAGCCACTGGCGGGGCAACAAATCTTTATTGAACATTTGCATATTCTAGGCACTGGTCTAAGGATATAGCAGAGAACAAAACAGAGAAGGACCCTGCTCTTGCGGCTCTACATTCTAGAGGAGATGACGGGAAATAAAAGAAAGCATAGGTGAAGGAATGAAAGAAAGAAAGCGGAAGGAGGGAAGGAAGAAGGGAGGAGGAAGGGAAGAAGGGAGGGAGGGTTGAAAATGTCAGGTAGTGATAAAGGCTATTTAAAAAAAAAATCATCTGCCCCAGCGGCATTCAATCTGTTTTGTTCTATAGAGTGGTCATGGGACTACTTTGACGGGGTGGTCACAGAAGGCATTTCTAAAGAGATGAAAGTTAAGCAGAACCCTGAGTGCCAAGCAGAAGCCACGAGAAAGGCTGGGGAGAGCATTCCAGGCAGAGTTCACAAGCGCCAAGTCCCTGCAGCAGAGAAATGAATGGGATGTTTCATGGAGTTAAAGGTGACCTGGATGGCTGGAACTTCATAAGGGGGAGAGGGGTAAACCTGAAATCAGGGAGACAAGAGGGAAGTGAAATAGTCCTTGGAGTTCCATCTCTAGCCAAAGGAGAATCGAAAAACAAGAAAGCCATGCATTTCAAAAACCTTTCTTGAGCCCAGCCTGCTTTTACTCTTTTGTGCTAGCTGCCTGACCTCTGGAGGCAGTTGAGTTTCCAATGAGTGGCAATGTTTTTATTTTCCTTTAAGTAGATTTTATTTTTTAGAGCAGCTTTAGGTGCACAGCAAAAATGAGCAGTAAGTACAGAATTCCCACCCACTTATCAACATTGAGCGCCAGAGTGGCACATTTGTTCCAGCTGAGGAAACCACACTGAAACGTCAGTATCACCCAGAGTCCATAGTTAACACTGGGGTACACCCTTGATCTTGCCCCTTCGGTGGATCTGGACAAACGTATAATGACACACTTCCACCGCCCAGTATCACACAGACCAGTTTGACCACCCAGACAATCCTCTGTGCTTCATCAAGTCATCCCTCCCCACCTGCTAACTCCCGGCAACCACTGGTCTTTGCACTGTCTCCATAATTTTGTCTTTTCCAGAATGTCATATAGTTAGAATCGTACAGATGGCTGTACTTTATAAAACTGAGGGAAACCAAGAACTCAGAACAAACTAAATGCTCTCCTGCAGAGGGGATTATGTAAAACATTACAAACAAGTGTTGACCACATAGAGTCCACATGTGCAGCTAGCGCTTCCCATTTTCAGAGGAGCAGTATGACCCAGTGGAGGCGGGACATGCATGGCATGACCGCGGCTGGCACTTCCCGGGTACCCCTCAGACCTGCTCACAGACCTCTGATGCTGCAGTCCTCAGAACACTAAGAAGGTCAACTGACTATGTCCTCATCTTACTGAAGAAAACCGAGCTTAACACATGGTCAAGTTTTTCCAGCTAAGAAGCATGAAGTGATACAGTGAACTTCAGAGACTTGACTTTGAATATTGACTCTGCCACCAAGTGTGTCACTTGGACAACTGCAACAGCTTCTGTCATACGTATAAAACACCTCAAATGTTGACCCTCTCATATTCATCCCACGATATCATTATTATGTTATTATTCTGGGAGGTGCTCATATGATTGCCTTATTATTTTAACCTGTTTATGCTATTTCACAGTAGAGATGTACATTTCCAGTTATTTTCTAGGTATGTCATCATATCATCTGCAAATAAAGTCAATTGTTTTTCTGTCTTATAAATGAAGCATGAGAGTTCCATTTCCCCCAGGCTTCTAACATAACTCCATGCATTTCAAAAACCTTTCTTGAGCCCAGCCTGCTTTTACTCTTTTGTGCTAGCTGCCTGACCTCTGGAGGCAGTTGAGTTTCCAATGAGTGGCAATGTTTTTATTTTCCTTTAAGTAGATTTTATTTTTTAGAGCAGCTTTAGGTGCACAGCAAAAATGAGCAGTAAGTACAGAATTCCCACCCACTTATCAACATTGAGCGCCAGAGTGGCACATTTGTTCCAGCTGAGGAAACCACACTGAAACGTCAGTATCACCCAGAGTCCATAGTTAACACTGGGGTACACCCTTGATCTTGCCCCTTCGGTGGATCTGGACAAACGTATAATGACACACTTCCACCGCCCAGTATCACACAGACCAGTTTGACCACCCAGACAATCCTCTGTGCTTCATCAAGTCATCCCTCCCCACCTGCTAACTCCCGGCAACCACTGGTCTTTGCACTGTCTCCATAATTTTGTCTTTTCCAGAATGTCATATAGTTAGAATCGTACAGATGGCTGTACTTTATAAAACTGAGGGAAACCAAGAACTCAGAACAAACTAAATGCTCTCCTGCAGAGGGGATTATGTAAAACATTACAAACAAGTGTTGACCACATAGAGTCCAGATGTGCAGCTGGCGCTTCCCATTTTCAGAGGAGCAGTATGACCCAGTGGAGGCGGGACATGCATGGCATGACCGCGGCTGGCACTTCCCGGGTACCCCTCAGACCTGCTCACAGACCTCTGATGCTGCAGTCCTCAGAACACTAAGAAGGTCAACTGACTATGTCCTCATCTTACTGAAGAAAACCGAGCTTAACACATGGTCAAGTTTTTCCAGCTAAGAAGCATGAAGTGATACAGTGAACTTCAGAGACTTGACTTTGAATATTGACTCTGCCACCAAGTGTGTCACTTGGACAACTGCAACAGCTTCTGTCATACGTATAAAACACCTCAAATGTTGACCCTCTCATATTCATCCCACGATATCATTATTATGTTATTATTCTGGGAGGTGCTCATATGATTGCCTTATTATTTTAACCTGTTTATGCTATTTCACAGTAGAGATGTACATTTCCAGTTATTTTCTAGGTATGTCATCATATCATCTGCAAATAAAGTCAATTGTTTTTCTGTCTTATAAATGAAGCATGAGAGTTCCATTTCCCCCAGGCTTCTAACATAACTAGCCCTTAAGTTCTTCAGAGCTTTTGGGAGGGGCGTGATTTAACTTTATTCAATGATTTTTTTTCTGATGGTCTTCCCAGTAGTATCTAAAATACTTACATTCTATGCTGTAACTAGAATTGTGCGAAAGGTTTAGCCATAGTCTGTATTTAAATTGGTTAAATGTTCACAAGTCTTTTCATTCCATGGCTTTCTGAACTCATCTTGATTCATATTTTTATTGGCTGGTTTTCATTTAATGTTTTTTTCCAAGAAGCCTTCTTAGGTTTTATATATGTACTTTTATAATATCTTTGTTTTATCATTTAGAATTGAACAAAACTTAGACTGCTATAAAATTCTTAGGTTTTGTGTTTTATTTTCTCTCTTGGGACTTTGCGGACATCAATTCATTTTATCTTGTCATTGCTTGTTGCCGTAGAGAAATCTGAATCCAGCCTGCTCTTTGCTCCCTTATAGATGACAGGTTTTTTTCTGCCTGCATACCTACGGGATTCTTTCTTTATCCTTGATGTTCAGAAACTTATCCAGAATGTAGGCATTGACTGCTCCATCTCAATTTTCCCCTTTGATTTGTAGATGTTCACCATTCTTTATTTCAGAATAAATCATTCTATCTTCTAATACTTTTTTTTCTGGTACATCTGCCTGCTTTCTACCCCAGGAAAACACCTCATTATGTATAAGGTATATTTCTTCTACTTGTCCGTATTTGCTATCTTCCTTCTAATTGCTTTGAATTCCATGGTCAGTTTCTCAAGCCTGTCTTCCACACCATGAAATGTTTTCCTTAGTGGGTATTCTGTGCCTCAAGAGAATGCTTCCAGAATGGGTTTTCATCTCTGTAATGTCTTGTTATCTTCCATTTTTTTCATGAGTTCTGACAGTTCGTGTTCATTGTTTTGTCTGGAAACTTCTCTGACCTGGGACAGTTTGTTATTCTTCTTTGTATTTTTCATCGGCTTGTTTGCTGGTCCCTTTTTTACCTTTTTCTCCGGAGCATCCTGAGTAGTTCCCATGTTGGATCTTTCCTATTTATTCAGCATCTTTGAGTGGGGTGCTTAGATCCAAGTCTCCTGTTGTGCAGGAAGGGGTGGTGGAGGGACCCAAGGCTTAGGTATCTGGTGACTTCAGTTTGGATATACTCAGAACAAAATATGCTTCTTCCTGTCAAGATAAATAGGTCACCTAGTAGGTGATCTACATGATTCATACTGGAGCATCCCAGCTCAGTTTTTTGTGTGTGGTAAGGAGATTCTCAATTCTCCAAACTTCACATTTCCACAAGGGCACCTCCACAGGAGTAACACTCCTGACCTCATTGTCATCTTTCCATCTTTTCCCAGAGCCAGGATAACTGCTCTGATTAGTAAACATGCTCAGCTAACCTTTTCTAGCCCTCCTTTTTCAGGTTTGTCTACCCACAGAGACCTGCAATTCTGGTGTGTGTATACAGAAGGGAAACTAAGTGGGGCAGGCTCTGACCTTTGGAAGAAGGTCTGGGACAGGGTGGGTGAGTTTAATGCTGGGATGAACTATACAAAGTTCTCTGCTGCCACACATATAAGGCATATCCTTCAGTATGTAGTATCTATAATAAAGTTGATGTTATGTTCAATTGTTACTTATATCTTATCTATCAATTGCTTCCCAACCTAGGAGAATAAGAAGGAGGTATTATTTATGGGTCCCTAAGCCCTAACATACTGATGAGTTGGCAGAAGCCTTAAGAAGGATAAAGGTGAGAATTCACAGGCCCAAGTAGCACATGGAGACTGAGGCTGCTGGTGGGGCCAGGGCAGGCAAGGGTAGGTTTTAAGGCTCCAGTAACTGTGCCAGACAGACTTGTGCCTGGCAAGTCATAACAGCGTAATGCCTGCAGAAGAATGGCTGTTGTTATAGATGTGGGATGGTTTTAGTAGCCTTCATGAGTGGGGGTTTTTAAGGCTGTTCTGACTATATGCTTCAGTCTTACTGTGCAAAGTAAATGAGAGGGAGAGTAGTTTGCTCTCGGAAGCAACATGCGGATTGTGCCAGAGGAAGTTTTCCGGAGACTAGCCACAAGCAAAAAACAAAAGGAAATGCATACATATCTAAATATTCCTAAAAGGGATCAGACTGGAGACTGAGAACCAATGAACTCTTTCAGAGACAGAAAGGCAAGATTTCAGATAGCTGAGTGGGATCTGGAATGCCCGCCACAACCACCAGAGACTGAGGTCCAGGGAGCTACTGAAAGTCATTCTCTGAAAACTGTGAATTCTGTCTGAAATGAAGCAACTGGGAATACAGCATTTATCCTATATCTATCCCATCACTGTATGTTGAGTGTGTGGAGAGTAGGTCCTTTGTGTCATTAGTTTATGGATGTCCATAGACAGAGGAAGACACTCAAGGAGCTGAACCTGAGGAGTCTCATTCACTCTGGCCCAGAGTAAGAAGACAGGATCCTGGCCTGAGGCTGATGCCCCAGTGGGGTGAGACAGAAGGGGTCCTGGGGAGTGGCGTACTTTCTATGTGGAAGTAAAGCGAGGCGTAGCCAATGGGCAGACTGTGTAGATGGTTTTCCCAAAGAAGGCCACCAGCCCGTCTCCTGTCCTCCATGCTTTTCCACAGGGTGCCCCCGATGCTCCTTCTATCCCAAAGTGAGTCCATGGGCTTGACCTTCCTTCCATCATGTCACTTGCTTGTAATTCACAGAATCTGAGGTTGGACCAGAAAAGGTATTGAACCATCTACCTTGTATGATGCAACACTCAAGATTGAGACCGAGCCACCCCACCACGTACAACCTTCCAAGGCCAGTCGTGTGAGGAAGGCAGGTCACATGCAATGCAGGCAGTAGTCCTAGGTGTGGAGGCCCTCCAGCCCAGAAGCCAGACATGATGTTGCAGCCTCCTGCTGTCAAGTCACCACCCGCAGCCTCTGAGTATTCCCAGCTGAGGCCCCAGACGTCATGCGACAGACAGGCTGTTCCACTGCATCCTTTCCAGATTCCAGTCCATAGAATCCCAAGCATCATAAAATAAAAATGCCACTAAGTTTGTGTTACACAGTAACTGGAACAGCGAACCACCGTGTAAAGATTGGCACAGCTATTCAAAGCTTCCATAAAACGGGATGATTTGAGAGGAAAAGCCTAGGAAGATGAGCATGGAATATTTAAGGTATTATTAGATGAGCTTCAAAGCCAGTTCTTGTGGCTGTAGGGGTTTGCCTGTGTCATCTGGGAACAAGTCAAAAAGCAGAGCTGGGACTCCAGGACAGGCACAGAGAGAATGAGACACACTGTAGGGGATCAAGGCAAGAATCTGGTAGTTTGAGTCCAGGCCTGGGATCAGATTTTTGGTTTAAGTGGAAAATGCTTTCCAAGTGAGATGTTCCAGCTCCGAGGGGTAAGAGTTGACAGAATTTGTTTAGACAACAGTTGCTTTTGGCAGATCCATGAAACACTGACTTCATTTCTCTCGCTGTGATAAGAAAAAAATCTATGTTGGAAAAACAAATGTCTGACCCAGAAAACAATGACCAAGTAAAAGGAAGAAAAGTCCAAGAAAAATGCCAGCCTTACATGTGGTAGAGAAGGAAAGGGAGCAACTTTAACAACTTGATTCAGTCATTAACAACTCAACTGAGCTTTCCTGAGAGAAAAACACAAAAGGGAGCAAAACAGTGGAAGCACCTCCCAAACTTCAGAATGGAAGATTTAGCAGGATGCTATGCTCCACAAGGCCTGAAAAATTCAAGTGACAGGGAAGGACGGTATCTGGAGGAATATAAAGCAGGAACAGGGGCAAAGGACAAAGCTTCAAACATTCATTAGAGCTTTAGCCCATAAATCTGCTAAGACTGACCCTCAGGCTGGACAAATGGGAGCGAGGAACCTTAAGGAAGCAGTTCTAGAAGCTAGAGGCAGTGACGGCAATCCCTGAGGCACAAGAGGGTAAAGACTGAGTGCAGACAGGGCCAGAAACAGGAGCTCAAGACAGGAATGGAACTGAGAAGGTTGCTTGCTAAGTATGCAGGGTGGGGCCCTGGCCACGCCTGGCACATGCTAACCAGCATCCTCAAAAGGCAGAGACCAACAAGATTCTTCCCTCTTCTATTGTTCTTTCCCCTGACATTCTTAAATCTCTCCTATGGTCCTAGTAAGTGGTAATGAGGCCCTGGTTTGTCATAAGTGCTGACTTCTGGGAATTCAAATTTACCTATATTAAGTGCTGTACTCTGGGATGATAATATGTGGTACTCTCCAACTTTCTGAATTCTTCAAAGTTTGAAGTTTGAATTCTTCAGAAAGTATGGCAGGAAACTAAGAAGACCCTTAGTGGCCAAAAATGAAAGGAAAGCCAAAATCTAGAAAGGTGAACAGAAGCCAGAATCCAACCTATGGATATTTTCCCAATAAAGTTACAAATGCTCTAGCCTTGGATTTTAATAGCAACATGATCATGTATGTAACTTAGGTCTGTGCAAGGTGGAGAGCTGGATCAGAAATCCCCTCATAAATTTAAATCCCTTGGTGAAAGACTGGACCAAATAAAACAAACAAAAACTCATTTCCTCAAAGGAGACAGCAAGGAAACATGTATGTTTCAGCAGGTTGTTGTGAGTAGAGAGAAAAATAAGTCCCACAGGAAGTTGAAACTATACTGTGGCTTCCATATGGGCATGCAGCCTAAATTCATAGCACCTAAGTCATAATAACAACAACGCTTAGGCAAATAATTTTTCTAAGTACTGATAAATTGGTAATGCCCTCAGGCACCTGCCAGAAACAAATGCAAATCTTCTATGGACAAATGTACTTACAGTCTGTCCCCTGAACAATTCCCTCAGAGAAAGCTCCACTGAACATGAGTTCACAATCAAAAATCATGGAACACATAAAACATGAGAAAGCAAGCCACTATGAGGAAAGCAGCAAAAATAATAAAAAACAAAATCAGACATGCAAAAGCTGCAGATGTTGAAATATCAGATACAGAATATAAACTAGGTGTGTTTAATATAAAGGAATAAAAGAAGGAATGTAAAGTATGAATAAAGATCAAAGAACTATAAATGAGAAATACATTAGTTGAAATTAAGAACTCAGTAGAAGGTACCCTTGCTCTTCCTAGCTAGGCTGTTACCAGTGAATGCCCACCAGGGAGTCTGCATCCCCCCGCTGCCCAGCAATAATAACGCACCCCTCTCTGTCAGGGTGTCAACAGAGGTGAGCTGGGAAACTTGCAGCCCCCCATCCTGCCCACCAGGACAGTGTCAGAGAAGGCCTGCTCAAAAAGAAAAATTAGATCCACAGTCTCATAATACCTCAAATGTCTATGATTGAGTTGTAAGCTTTTCATCATACCAAAAGTCAAGAAAATCTCAACTTGAGTAAGAAATGACACGAATGTTGAGATAACACAAATCTCAGAACTGTCTGACAGGATCCTGAAGTAACCACCGTAAAAATACTTCACTAGCAATTACAAATACACTTGAAACAACTGAAAAATCAGAAGCTAGAAGAACCAAGTGGAAATTTTAAAGCTAAAAAATATGATAACCAAAATAAAAAACTCAAATGATGGGCTTGACAGCAGAACAGAAAAGACAAAGGAAGCATCAATGAACTTGAAGATAGAATAATAGAAACTATGCTATCTGAACAGCAGAGAGAAAATAGGAGGAAAATGAACAGGAGTTTCTGGGTTGGTGAACACATTGAAGTGCTGGGAAAATGGTGCGCCCAGAGAGGGCATGGAAGCTCCACACCCCATCCCCAATACCTTGCCCTTCCTTCCTTTTTGGCTATTCCTGAGTTGTATCCTTTATAATAAATGGGTAATAGACTGAGACAAGAAAAGAGAAATCTCAGTGACTCCAGTCTGTTTTGTATCTGCTGAAGAGTTTGGCCACCTGCTGGATGAAAATATGGGATCAAAGTTTGATAACACTGGCATGAATGCCATGGCTAACAAAGATAGTGCAAGTCTTAAACAGCTTAGATGAGAGGCTGAATGCAAATACTGGTCACACAACATGTAAGTATAATCAAGATAAACAAAATTTTCACAAACAAGAGGCTCAAAACCACTCAAAAATTAAAAAGCAAAGGAAATAAATGTTTTCAAAATATGAATTAAAACTTTACTTACTCCTAATAAAAGATGAACAGGTCTCAGGAACCAGTGTGACTATAACAGTTATAAACAGGGGGAGATCAAGGTATATAAAGGGAGGTAGGATTCTACACTTTACTTGAACCAGTAAAATATTGACACCAGTAGCTTATGATACATTATGTAGGTATAATGTAATCTCTAGAGCAACCACTATCAAAGCTATGCCAAGATACACTCAAAAACTCGAAAAAAAAGAGGAAAATCAAAATGGAATTCTAAAAAATGTTCAAAGGCAGGAAAAAGAACACTAAGAAACTTAAAAAGAACAAATTGAAAATAAAAAACAAGATGGCCAACTTAATCCCTAACCCCCAATAATTGCACTGAATGTCAATGGTTTAAAAATACCGATTAAAAGGAATAAAATTGGCAGAGTGGCTTAAAAACACAGCCAACTGGATCCCTAACATAGAAAACGACTTAGCAAAAAAAAAAAAAACTACTGATACACACAACTTGGATGGAATTATGGAATTTGCGGGCATTTATGCTAAAAGGAAAAAACAAATTCCAAGGTCAAGTGTCTGATTCCATTTGTGTAACATTTTTGAAATTAGAAGATTATAAAGATGGAAAACATACTAGCAGCACAGAGATGGGGAGTGAGGGTAGGAAAGGTGAGTATGACTTTAAAGAGTAGCACAAGGGAGATCTTGGTGGTCCTGTATCTTGATTTTGGTGGTTTACACAAATCCACACATATGCCAAATGGCATAGAACTATATACACACACTGTACCAGTGTCAGCCTCTAGGTAAAGGTAATCTGAAGAACTACTTAAATTACCTAGACTGCAACACAGAACAACACAAAATAGAAAATATGAAAAAGAGCTTACAAAATACGGAGGACAAAGTGAGAAGACCTCATATTATCTAATTAGTGCTGCAGAGAAAACAGAAGGAATAGGGGAGAGGCAAAACTGGAAGACACAGCACCTGAAAATCTGGAATTCATAGAAGATAAAAATGCTTAGATTTGGGGATCACAACAATTCTCAAGTGGGATAAATAAAAAAAATTCACATACAGAAATCCGGGAGCAAAACTGAAGAACGACAAAGAGGAGACCTTTAAAAGGTGGAGCACGCGGAAGTCTTGGTGCCGAACTCATACAGCTTGGATGTCCTGAAGGAATAACATCCATTCCTGGGGGAACAATCTGGCCCAAACCACCGAAGGAGCTATGACTCTACCAGCCGTGAGATGATACTCAAACTGAAGCTGAGCTCAAAGCGAGGAAGACTAGGGGTTTTACGGTTTTGTTTTGATTTGCCTTTGGTCTGCCCTTAAAATAATTAGGGGCTTTAAATTTTCTGGATGATAACTCAAGTCAAACACATTTATTTTTGAATTTTAATTTTTCTCTTATAATTTGATATTAGGGAGTCCTGTTGTTCAAATTTGGAGCATTTTTGAAGTACTGATACTGAATTATTAGGATATCGATACTATCATTTTATGCCTAATGTAATTTCTAGTAAGCAGTATTGAACATTTATGAGGCCTCAGAGTTAATTTAGCTAATATACTTACTGTTCTAATCCATCTTAGTCATTAGGGGTTTTCAAAATTGGCAGCAGTGGTCCCAAGGGGAACACCCAAAGGAAACAGTGGTCGGTATTGGGAGTGGAAGTCTTATGAAAGTGTGGTAATACGGTCCTGATACCTGTTCATCTAGTCCTTCAAGGAGAGCTGTGAATGGAGAGAGCACAAAGCTGGAGAGTGTTGGGTGAGGGTCTCCATCCTCTGTGTCGTGTTTCCATGAGGACACCACCAGCGTAGCCACCATCTGACCCCCTTCATTCCTTCTCCAGCCTCTACACAAGCCTGGGGTGCAGAGGTCTACATCTTCTCTCATTGCCGGGTTTTCTTGAAGGAATGCAAGGAGCCTGGCTCAGCCCCTCATGGGCCTCCCCCTTGGAACTGCCTGCCCTCCGAGGATGTACACGCTCTCTGTTCCTGGGTCCAGCTCTGCACCCCAAGATGTTGAGCTCTGCCTGTATGAGGGGGGTATGTTTGCTGCTGAGATAAGCATTAGAAAGCCTATTTAGCATCCAAAGTACATTTTCCAATCCAGCTTTTATCAAAACCTGAGCTAACATTTCTGTCGCTATCGACCATCTTTGATCCCTTAGTTCTCAATCAGTTCTAGAATCATAAGTGGAAGTTATTTATTGGCCTCATAAAATCCCAACAATGTCATCAGTTGACTCTGGTCACCAGTTATAGAGCTAATTGCTGGTTCCCCTCTTTTCTCACCTGCAAAATCTCAAGGCAGTTTCTTCAGATAAAGAATTCTGCAGAAAACACGTGGCCCATCCAGGCAGTTCACCAACCTGACTTCTCTGCTGCTCTCCTATAAGGAACCAATCTCTAGTTCTCACTGGCCTGAGCTAAGGACCATCTTTTTTTCTTCTTTTGGGCTGATACAATTTTCACCTGCAGCAGGTGAAGAGCAGAGCACGGATATACTCCACCAAAAATTACTTCCCTCATAATTCTCTCCAGATACCAGCTCAGATATAGACAATAAATATCACGACATGGACTTTGGAAGACATTCTTCTAAGAAAAAGGAATCCCTAACTATTATTGTCTCTCATAAAAAACGATGGCAAAATCCAGGGTATGTCATCAGATGTGGTTATACACAATTTTTATAAAAACCACAGCGACTACTCTCTCCATCAAAAGCAAGAAAGGGGAGAGGATTAACAAATATATTCTTTATAACTTGGGTGCATGTGGCCAAAAGAAGACCAAAATAATAAGCTTACTTTCACTGCCACCTTCCTGCAAAATTAAAGCCCCTCAGTAAGGAAAATGGGAATGTCATTACTCACTCGACAGAACTGTAAGGAAATGTTGCAAAAGTAAATCATCTTATGGCAGAAGAGAGGTAGGGAAATGCAAAGTCCTGGTTTTCACATCAGCTTTGGGTTAACTGTAAAACATTTGGTGCTTCAGATTCTTCATTTATAATTTGAAAATAAGAGCTACATTTGCATTATTTTAATGAGTGACATAGTGAGATGTTAATACCACTACAACAGCTTAAAATATATAATTTTTAGCAGTTGAAAAGAGGAATAATGCCCTTTTCCAAAGTGCTATCTTGAGCACTGAAAGATGAGGAAGGTGACATTTACAAGAGTCCTTTGAAAAACAGCACATTGTGAAGGTATTAATCAAAAGAAAAGCTTTATTCAAAGTGGAAAAGTATCTTCTCTGGTATCAGACCCAGTGAATGGGGCGGAAGTTCCAGAACATGGCTTTTCCAGGACTGGTCTCTGTTCCTTCTGATTCACCCCAGATGCTACTAGCCCACCATCAATAAGACATGTTTTGTGTGGCTTTCCAAGGGTAGTGATGGATCTGTATTGATCATATGTGTGAATAACAGCACACAATTATGTGTTCACCAGGGGTAAGGTGGGATGCCAGTGTGTAAATGTGGAATAAAGCAAGGAATTTGCCCAGAGAGAATCTTGCTAATATTTCATTTATTCCTTGTCCCATCAGCCCTTGAACAATCACTACCAACTACCACAAGCAAGCACTGTGTTGAGCAATTTACACACACAGTATAATTCTATCCTCAAAACATCCTTATGAGATAGGTATTACCTACATTACAGATTAAGGAACTGAAGTTTAGAAAAGTCAAGTAACTTTCTGAAGGCCACTCAACTACCAGAATTAGGATTCAATGTATGTTATATTAACTTGCACTTTTTGACATGCTATTTTGTGATTACTGCCAAACAATTTTTCACTATCACAATACCTATAATTCTTCAAATGTATCTAATATATTCTAATTATTTCATATAATACACAATTTCCCAAATGTATGTGATATGGTGCTGAAATTATTCTCTGTACACTTTCACACTACCTGGCAACTCACAGATGTCAATAAACACTGGGTTTTCATTAAAATTTAACTCAGGTATCAGTCAGAACAGCCTTCTGAATCTGAGCAGAAAATGACTGAGAACAAAGCACTGGTCTCTTTATCCTCTTCTTTTTTTTCTTCAATTGAATTTGATTTCACAAATGTGAAATAGCACCTGTTTTTCAATCTTCCATTAACCTTTCTTGTACACTTCCTGTAACTGACCCAGAATGCCATCCCTGGGCAACAAGAGAAGTGAGGGGCTGAGCAAGCTCTCACAAACATATGGGGAGAGATGTAAGGGAGTAGATCAAGCACCTCCTACGGCACGGACCCTGTGATCTGTGATACCAGTGGTAGTGGATCTACCACCAGTGAACCCTCATGTGGAAGTTCAGTGGTCAAACCCATGGCAATGCTTGGAAAACAAGGCTGAGTGTCAGATTCGGATGAACAGCAAAGACACGCCTTCTATGAATTAAGCATCATGCTTCTAAAAATTAAATAATTATGGCAAACTCCCATTCTTTCCCATTTGCAAAGACACGCCTTCTATGAATTAAGCATCATGCTTCTAAAAATTAAATAATTATGGCAAACTCCCATTCTTTCCCATTCTGCCTCTGAACTAGAAAAAACCCAAGGAACCCCTGCCTGGAAAAGCTGCCCTTCCCAGTTGAACAGCTGCCTTCTCTTGTATGGGCTTCTGATCCCTTATTTACTCCATCGTATTTGCTACTGAGAGAGGGGCAGCAAGTCCCCCCCTGCCTCTCCTAAAACTCTCAGAGACCTGCCTACTTTGCTTGTCCTTGGATAAAATTTGCTCTACAAGGAAAGGAAACTCAGTTTGCCTCCACTCTCTTCAGGGCTGTCTGTGTGAAAAGCTCCCATCAGGCTAAAATACCGAGTCTTAACTAGAAAAGTTGGGAGGGAAACCAATCAGCAGTGTGTTAAAACCCTCCACAAGGGACTGCTGTGTGATGTGCTTTTACTGCCTATGTCGAGTTGGCTGGAGGGACACAATGCCAGAAAGGTGGTGTGTGTGATCAAGGAAAAAAATAATTTAAACAAATTCAAAGGAAAGGCATTTTGTAAAAATAATAATAAAAATATATTTCACATAGAAATTTAACTTTATAAATTACATATATTGTCAAGCCCAGTTTGTCCTAGATGGGGCTGCACAAAGGATCTCCCCAAATACAAGTCAAGGACATACCGAATTCTATTGGTTGTATTTCAAAGAAAACTCAAGCCTGAAAAATAATCAGAAATAAAGTATAAACATAGCAGGTATTGTGAAAGTCAAGGAAAATCAAAGAAACTAAACAAGGAGTAGAAAAAATATGTAAATAGAGCAAATTAAGTCCCTAAGTCTAGAGAAATAAAAGAGTTGGTGTGTCACGTATTTCCTAGGATCTGAATCTTCATGTAGTTTTCACCCCTTTCCTTTGCCCTGAACACAGTTACAACTCTCTTGCCCCTGGAACACTCACAGATACACCCACCTAGACTGTGGACTTTCACCTGTTTTGCTTGATTTTCTTTCATGCCTGCAATTTTTACTTTTCTCACTTTGCCTTTCACTTTAGCCAAAAATGCCTGCCCCACCATCACTTCTCCATGTTAGGGGTAAACTCACACTGGGTAGACACTGATTTAAAGCTTCCAGGCTTCCTCGTCTCAGCTAAATCTTCTAAACATTCTTCTCTTTCAGGTTTTTTTTTTCTTCTAATTTCTGGCTACTTATGTCTGATTCTCCAACATATCTTACGTCAGTCCCAGGGATATGTAGACTTTAACTCTATGTACAGTCTTTGATAATATTTAAAGTCAGTGGTCTTAATTTTTACTTTCCTATCATCTCAAACATTGAGTGTAATGGTATCAATTCCTGCACTAGACAGATACAGTAGAACAAGTAAGAGATCCACAGAACCAGGAGATAGAAGCCTTGCTAAGTAAAAGTCTCTCTGGCCACAGATTCCATAGAAGTCACAACAGGCTCCCTGATTCTGACTAAACCAGGATTAACGACAGTTCTTTGGCTTAAAGGCACTTCAGAGTGCTACAAGCTACAGTTCTAGAAATATAGAAATTCTTTATCCTAAGTTTAGGCTGAATCTCTTGAAGTCAAAAAGCATTCTTCCCTCCTATTTTATACCTCCTGGTATAAGTTAGCATGTATAGATTAATCACATTTCTTCTGGAAATGGAATACAATTGAAATTGAGTTAATGTCGATTTTTCAGATTCGTCTAAGCCAAAAGCTTACTTTAAACTTATGTAGGTGGTGGGAAGGATATGAAAATGTATGTTTTAGTAAAAGTAATAAATATATAACTCAAGACATAAATGCTGAGAAGCTAAGTGGCTATCCTACTATTATTTGGAGGACTTAAACAGCCTAAAATTTCTTGCATTAGAATTCAGCAGTACCAAAAGCTACCAAGATAATATAGTTAACATAGAACATGGACCTTAAAGCATTAGCTGTATGTGTACAGTATCCATCACTATACTTAGTTATTTCAAGTAGAATGCTATAGAACATCAAACACTTCAAAGGAGAATATTCTGGAACTAAATAAAGCAATAGAAACCCGTATGGTCAGAGTGAAATAGTTGTCTTAAGCCTCTTGTTATCTTAGCATGTACATAAACACCAGAGAGCACACTCCCCAAACAAAAGCTCAGCTAAGACCTATCTGCTAATAATTCAGTTTATAAAGGTAGAACTATGGTTGTCTACGAATTTTCAGTGGTCAAAGAATCAAACCCTTTGCCTAAAAGGCTTTTGTTACATGCAGGTGAATAGCATAAATCAAGAGTAAAGACAAATTNAATGAAAAAATAATGGCAACTGCTTCACAGAACACAAAACCTCAGGCCACCATCCCAGGTGCTAAAGAATCTGGAACAGCCTGGGAAGATTCTGAGCTGCAGACTTATGGGCAGAGGGGCTGTGCGTGTTCACAGTGCCACACTGCTGCCACCTGCCACTCCACAGAAGGCACTGAGCCAGGAAACAGAGGCTGAGCAAGTGGTTTCTTTTCCTTTCATATATGTGTATGTACTTGAAATTGCTTTAAACATTTTTAAAAAGAGAGGGAACTAAGATATATCAAGAGAGAGGTTCTTTTTATCCTGCCATCCCTCTGTCTTGATCCGTTCTTCTCCCTTCATTATGTGCATTTGCCAACTTCTCACTCAGCCCGATATTGTTTAAGCTGCCTTTGGTTTAAGAGGTCCTTGAGAACAGGGACTCCAGCAGCATTCCCGCTGAATAAAGGGCCATTCGTCAGAATAAAATAAAAGTAAAATGCTGCAGATAATCACAAATATTGTGGATGTCTTTAATTAAGGGAACCATTCCTAGAGGTTTGATTATGATACAGAAAGCATGCAATTCTACCAAAGAGATCTGGGGGTCCAATTGCTAGACACAGACGAAACTGGGAGTTAGTAACCAAGGGGAAACACTGTCAGAAGGCTCATAAAACATAAACACAAAAGCAACATCAGAATCTTGCTATTTGAATTATGGTTTGCAGATTAGCAGTATCAGCAACTCCTGGAAGCTTACAGAAATGCAGACGCACAGGGCCCTCCTCAGACCTGCTAAATCTGATTCTGCATTTTAACTAGATTCAAATGCATATAAAAGTTTCCAAAGAACTTCTCTAGAACAAATCATATAGAAGAAAGGTCTGCTTTGTCTCTCTAAGTATCCAACAGATTGACTCAGGAGAGTTAATGATAATTCAAAATAGTAGTAACTCACACATGGCTACACCTGAAGAGTCTCACTTGATAGAACTTGCCGCAATTCTACTAAAGCTACTAAAATGCTTTCATCAGGCTAATTCTTCCTCTTGGCAACATTTCCAGGGTTCTGAGTAGCATCATAGTGAGACAGGGATCATGGGCTTAGACAGAGTAGGTTGAGGGCCTCTGGAAAAAAAACAAAGCAAGATAACCATTGTGGGATTTGCTTTGGCCTGATGGGGTCCCAGCTTCTTTTTCTAACTTTACCCAAGTGCTGCCTTTCTTCCTACAGCCTTAAACAAATGATTTGTTGCAACTTGGGCAATGTAGCAAGCCAGCCCCAAACTACTGCAAGCCCAAAACAACATAGTAAAAAAATAGGAAGGATTCCATCTTGAAACCCAAATAGTTAAAAAGTAAGACAGTAACCCAGCCCACCTTGGGAGCAAAGCAGGCAGCCTTGAGTGATAGGCTCCCAGACCAGGAAGCTGCTCTCCTGGGAGGAATCAGAGCAGTAAAATTCTTGGAAATAACCAGGAAAACTAATAAGATGCTACTCTTTCTTCAAAGGTATATGAGACCACTTAGCAGGTGTACATCCCCAGCCCTTTGTCTCTCAACTGCCTATAAAACTCCTAGAGATGGTACCTCCCCGGGGCTCTCTTGTCCCCTCATGGCCTGAGCCAGGAGCTCTGTCTTTTCACTTTCTCTCTAAATAAAAGCCTCTGCCTTGCTTTCCTACCTTGACTGTTCCCGAAGTTCATTCTTTGGTTCCCTGAACAAGAACCCCAGCATCAATTGGTAAAACGGCACTTTGTAGACAAATGAAATGTAATTTGTGGCAACTTATCCCCACAGAAAAGACAGGAATAAAAAGAATCCCACTCTTCCTTCTGGTATTTGCATCCTGACAGAACAAAAACATTAAAGAGTGGCATTTTCCAATTCTGTGCTTTCTCCCCCACTCCACCCCAAAGGAGCATCTTATTTCCCAGTTTGAGAAACAAAATGTTCCCAAGAATTGGTCAGTACACCTGGCTCCTCCTTGAGCAACTGAATATCAGACTTTTAACCTTCTCCAAGGCAGTACAAAATACTACCATAAAAATAGGAAGACCAAATACTTCCTTTTGCAATTGACATGGATTTCACTGCCTGACAGTCTGTTACTCTGTTGCCTGCATGTCGGCCTCCTTTCCTCCATTAGACTCTAGGCAGCATGAAGGTGAGAGTCACACCCTGCACCTCCCTTGTTTACATTTTAGCACTGCACGTGTAGAGGGAAGGTACTCAATAAAACAGTATTTATAAAAATAAAATAGTCATTACTGGCATGACCTGGAGTAACTTCTGTCTTTTCCTTAATAATAATAACTGTAATGCTAGCTAACAGGCATGCACCAGAGGTTGTATGTACGCTACATGTATTTACACTAAGGACTTGCTGAAGAGGTTACTCTTATTTTACAAATGAGGAGACTTAGGCATAGACCAGCGAAGTAACTTATCTAAGAGCACATGGATAGGAAGTGTGAGAGTGGGGATATAAGTCTGGGTGGTCTGACTTAAGAACCACAGTGCATCCTGCCTCATATAAGATCTAAGTTCCAGTTTCAGGTTTTCCTTCTGAGAAATCTCGTTCTTAGCTCCCAGCTCCTGAGAATTATATAAAATACCATTCAAACCTATTTTTCTCATGATCCACAGTCAGAACCCTACTTTGCATCCTAGCACACACACAGGCACACACTAAAACA